GTAAAGGATGTACCTGTGGTTTAGATCACCTTTGATCATCGCTCCCAGACGATTACATATTCAACCTTCAGCAAACCACTTGACCTCAACCTATTTGAGACGCTGCCATGAACACAATTAGATCTGTTCACTCATAGCTGTCAGCACTTGTGACCTTATTCGTATACAACTTGATATGATGTGACATAACCCATGTCCCCACAATTACCAGCATTTGAGCATTATTCCCACTGTAATCGTCTTGAGGGGACATAGTCGGTCATCATGGCACGATGTATTTAGTGACATATTACACCCGTCCCTCCCCCCCGTCCCTTTCCCTATACAAGTGAACATTACCCATTCCGCATCCAATGTATTGGTAATTGTACCGTACCGATCTTTCCGATTATTTTTCCGTTTTATCGACATCGCTCAGTTCTGTTCGCTATTGTTTAACCATATCTATTGTCGAATCCCAATCCGTATTACTAACACAATACCCCCGGGACTGAGTGGTGCTGATTGGTCGGTTCGCTCTCTTTGAATACTTGTTTTCCTTGATGTTCCTTATTCTGTGTTCTGACGGTGCCTAGCGAGTGGCCTGACTCGGTATCCCGTACCATTTCGATTTACCCTGCCTGGTTTCTGAGCCGGATCGCCCATAACTTGAGGTATGTTGTACATATTGTCTGTTTATCCGTATCCAATACATGTAGATTACCGAACTCGTGTTGTTCTGCCTGGACTTAGGGGTTTGTTTTCTGCCAGTCACTCGATCACTGGACGTCAATCCGGTTCAGATACTAAATGAGCCTTACGTTGATCGATATGACAAGTAACCGTGCGATGTACGTGTTCTGACACGAACCGATGGCCGCGGTTGACAGTTCGGTTGTTTTTGACAATCTGTTTGCAAAATAATTGTTTTCTACACACCGAATTGTATTTCTTTGTAAATTTGTACCTCATTGTTTGCTTTTCCATGTGTATTTTCGTTATCCCAGTTCTCGTTAGAAATCTTATATACAATCTAGCTAGCACAGAAATGCTAGACTATAATATATACCTCCAGGTTTATTCTCTTTGTCTGTGATCTCTTCAGCCGGGATGTAAATCTCTTTAGAAATTCAATTTTGCGGCTGCAGCTGACGTTAGGACGATTCTGGAACAATGCACTTTTTCGTGTTCGGTTCGGTTCGAACATGTACATGAGGAAACATTCCTCCGACGTCTGTTGTTAGTCAGTGTTTTCGGATTTTGTTTGCTCTCTTTCTCTGTTCAGTTTAACTATGGTAATTGCATCCCTCTGATTGTCTGTGAGTGGCGATTCCTCGTGGTCGTTGGCCACGTGGACGTATAAACAGTTCCGTACAAACGTCACTGATTTCTAATTGTCTTATCTGAACCACTTCACAGTTTAGTGGATCACAGATAGAGATCCATTTTGTAGATGGAAAGACTGGACTAGTTGATTTATACACCCATATCCAGACCAGAAATAGTTGCAATCGCCAAAAGTATAACCCACGCAGGAATTCCTGACATGGAGCGTATCATCCGACTGCCTGATTCAAGTGAACTTCAGTCCCATTCCTGGACTAAACACACGCCTGTCGGTTGACTTACAGTCATGAATGGGTACTATAAGACATTCATAATCGACATCATATCGCCTCGGAATGAGTACGAAATAGCAGTGGGCTCTTAGACATGCGGAAGGCAAAATGTGAAGGCTGATTCCAAATCGTATTTAGCTTTTGACTACTGTATTGTTTCTCAGTAGCCAGTTGACTTCGGTCAACTGTTGTTACGAGCGTATGGTTTTTGCATGGTCCATACTTATCATACATGGAAGCACTTTTCCCAAATGGCCATTTATCGTAAAAAAATGTAAAATGATGGAGTAGTCGCAAGATCATCCATATCTGATTGATTCGTCGGATGTTTAGATGGACTAATTCTACGTTAATACCAGGACCGCCATGATGTTCAAATCTCATTCATAACCCATAATAACATTTCCAATGTTTTAGGGAAAACTTCTGTCGCTTCAAGATAAAGTTATCTTGTATCACCGTATCTTCCAACTGCGTTTCTGTCCTATCTCAAGCATCAAATGACAACTGTTTGCACCTTTGGGAGATACAAGATTCGTTTGAAAGTAGCACATTTGTACTCTCCCTAATCAAGTGTACCCGAGATATCATTTTTCTTATTCATAAACTAAAGACTATATCCGGTCAATTTTCAATGTGATACTTTGAAATTTCTAGCTGAATCACCTTCATAACTTTTGCATGCACAAACATTATCTCCCCATTGTCAAAACTAACTATTGGGAGTGTTGGAACGAAGATCAATATCATTCGTCCCACGATAAGCCCGCCTGCACACGTACTAATTCTGTGAACAAAATCAAACAATTTGACAACACATTGGACCCAAATTAGGGTCATCACGGATCAATACTAATCTCGCGGAGATAAATCAATTATATTGAGTCGTACGGCAATATCCACTCTCTCCATCCATCTGGTCCGCCGCCTATGACCGATTAAACTTTGCTCACTGTGTACTTGATTGGTACAATCTTTTTATTGCATAGACCGATGCTACTTTGCATCACATATAAGCCTCAGAGTAAAACTTGTAAATTGACTCGTGACACGTGATTGGTGGCTTGTGGCTTGTGCTCAACGCCATTAAAACCCCGTGCTGCT